TATTTATAGTGTCAGAAGTACATATAATTTTTCCAAAAATGCATGTCAGTAATAACCTCAAATATCTTTGTGTGTTGCACTGTATTTTTATTTATTCCCATAATGTATTTGGGATTTATATGTATAGCTCATGAAACACATTTGACTTGCAAAAGCTAGGCCACTATCTCAATAATTTTTAATCCTTAATTTTTAAAATTTATTTGTGGTTCTCATTTCATTATACAATAATTTTAATACCCCCTTTTTATGTACATCCATGGATTCCTATTTTCTTTTCTTTTCTTTTTTTTTTGCATAACAAGTTTATTTTTTTAAAGGCATATAGACAAAACAAAGTATACATTTAAACAGATTTTAACTTCTGCCCTAAAACTGTTCCATTAAGTGTCAGTCTCTAAACATTTTCAGTTCAGTAATCATTATCTTCATCAGAGTCCATTACTTTTCTTCTGTTGAATTTAACTGTTGTTTTCTTTTCTGCTTGTTGGCTTACTTTTTCAAGGATTTCTGTAAACCTTGTTCTGAGACCTTCCCACTTAGCTGTCCATACTTTGCCATCTGTATAAGGTAATTCTCTACTGCTTTCGTTTTTTCAGGTTTTACAAGTGCCAAGTTACTTAACCTGTCCCGGGCTGATTGATCCAGAACTTGCGCTAAGATACTGTTTCTCATTTCTGCTTCCCTGTGCTTTACTTCCTGTTGTGCTGCATCATTAGGATCCCCGTGTTTCACCTGCATCTCGGCCAGCCTCTGCTTCCTCTAGATTCCTAATTTCATTATATCAATTTCTCTTGTAATGAAAATACCTATTAATTTTTCCCCACCAAATTTAGTGGGAGGGAACAGGAATTGCATTGTCCCTTTAATAACCAGAACATTGCTTGGCATATGACGGGCATGTATTTGTTGAATGAAAAAATAAAGTGGGTATTTCTGGAATACCCACATTGTCACACTAATTTAAACATCAAATCAATTTCAGAGCCATTTCTTTACTGTTAAATGTGTCGTAATCATATATTTTATCATTACAGCAAAATTTCTCTCAATATTCATATTCAGAATTTCCTTTAGGATCCAAATCTTTTTGTTCAAACAAACTTCACAAATTTTGAAAAGCTCTAAAATTACTCCCACAAGGATTTTTATTTGAATTTTTTTTAAAATATAAATTAAAGGGCTGGGGATTGAGCTCAGTGGTTCTGGTGCCTGCCTTGCAAGAGCAAGGTCCTGAGTTCGATCCCCGGCACCAACAAAAAAAATAGAAAAAAAAAATCTACTACAATAAAAATATAAATTAAGTTTTGGAAGAATTGATATTTATATTGTAAATATATTTTTCTCATGTATATGTTATAGCTCTCTATTTCTCTTTACAGCTTTTTATAATTTTCTTTACAGGGTTATTCATAAGTATTTTATTAATTTTTGTTGTCACTGCTGCAGTAATTCAGGATATTACTGTGGCTATTGGGATTTGTATTTATTTATTTTGAAAAAATTACTTTCTATTTATTTCCATTACATAGAAAAGTTACTGTTGCAAATTTACCTTGCATCCTGAAAGTTTACTGGGATTATTTTATTAATTGTAATAGAAAAAAAATTATAGTTTTTAGTTTTACTGAAAACAATATTGAGCATAAGTTACTGTCAGCTAAATTCTACTTTGCTTTTATGATAAGAAGTGGTAGTTTGGCAATAGCAGTAAGGTTTTAAACATTTGCTTTTGGAGATTGGATAGAATTTTTACAGCTATTTTAGGGACTTTTTATATAGCTTTTAGTAACTCTATGTGAATAATATGTGAAGCACGTATTGAAATACTGGACCTTCTAAGGAGCAGTGTGTGGGTTTCTCAGAACCTGCAAGACTTCCATATAGCACAGTTCCCTCACTTACAGAGTATTCTGTCTCTATGATCTCTTCTAAACCCTACACCTGCGAGCTGCAGTCTTCCATGTAATATCCCAGATCTCTCACTGAGGAAGTCCTTGTTCTAGAGTCAGCCAGGCTGTCTAGGGTCCACATAAGCCAGCTTAAGCCCATGTTTCTCTATGGGAGAAACATGGAAAAGGCAAAGAGTCAACTTTGATGTTAGTCACATTGTCATCACAATACTCTGGCATAGAAGGATCGACTCGATGTGCTGAATATACTGTTTAGGAGCACAGAGGGAATGAGTACTGGGACCTGGGAATGTACCAACTTCTATAGCATAAATGGCAGCACAAAGAAAGCAACCTTGAGGCTTTTATGTGCCACGTTCTAGTCCTAAACAATCAGTTCAATTTAACGTTATGAAGTTGTTCAAAACAGAATTTTGTACTCTTTGTTTTAAGGAAAACTTTTATGTCCTAATTAATGAAAACATACTATTTGATCATTTGTTTTGAAGGTAATGATATATGTTAAATGAAGCTTTTTTGTTTGTATTTACTTTATGGGATACTCATTTAAGATGATTGAACACTTCAGTAGGTTTGAATAAATCTTGGTCCTTGCTGAATGATGGAAGCTGACAAGTGATGGATAATACTGTAATGGGGACAAAACAAGTCTGAAAGGCTCAGACACATGTAACACAGTTGATCTTTCTACATCATAAACTTTTGTTCTTTGGACTTCAACAATTATCTTGCTTATGTTCGATAAATCACCACCCTACAAGAGGTTGCTTTACCCTTCCTCTGCATGCTTTACTTGCATTTTAAAAAATTGTTTAAGGGCTTATTTGGAAACTATGGGCCATATGAGACTGTTGTTCTCCATACATTCACATTGTATGCATAAGGTAGACTGCATCTTCACAGATGTAATGACACCTCAAATACCAGGATGTGTGATCTGTTCTAGTGATAAAGGTGAACATTCACTGTGTTCATTCACTGTGTGTACAACAAGGCATAATGCTAAGCTTTGGGTGTATTTGAAAAGGATGATAGATAAGTTAGGGTTTTGTTCAAATGTTAGAATAAAGCTACCGTCTCAGACATCTGATGATCATGTCTAATTAGTCAAGGTGTCCTTTGCGAAGTGTACCTAAATTAAAGTTTGAAAAAGCAAACCTAGGACTTTTCCTTGTAATTATTATATTATTTTCCTGTTTTGTGTTTAGCAATCAACAGATGCTTTGCATTTTCTCTAGTTCTAACCAAGTGACTAGTTTCATGCTTTCTGTTTTTTTGAAACTTTTCAAACTCTTATCTAACTGAAGTATTAATTTTCTTGCCCCAAATTAAATAAGGTTTAGTGTGGTTTAAAGATTACTCGTTGTAGTTTCATACTCATTGTATGTATATATCCATATATATATATACACACACACACACACTTACTTGGTCCACCAAATCCATGGGTTATACAGTTTTTGGATTCAGTGAACTGTGGATTGAAAATATTTTTAAAAATTTGCTTCTACACTAAACATGCCCAGACTTTTTTCTTGTGATTATTTCCTGAGTGATATAGTATACTATTTACAATACGTAGCGTTTACATTATAGTATTAGGTTTTATAAGTAATTTAGAGATGATTTAAGGATTAGGGCCAATGTGGATAAATCATCTGCAAATACTACTTCACTTTATATAAGAGATTTAAGCGGCTGTGGATTTTGGTACCCACAGCAGGTCTTGGAGCCCGTCTCCCATGGATACTGATGGATAAGTGTAGGTGGAGACAGATATGTGATCATATATGAGAAGGTCATGTCTGCTTTTTTGACGTGACAAGAGGAAAGATATTTTGAAAAAAGTAGAGGTGCTAAAGAATAAATTTAACTGAGTAAGTTATTGTTTTTTTCACAGATAAAATGGAGTCATAGTAACAGAAAATAAATATATAATTTGAAAATATCATTCTTGACAGTAAACATAGGAAAAAAGTCAGGTAGCATTTTAGTACACTTATTAATTAGTTTATAATATCAAATGTTTTGATAGAAAAAAACCATGAATAGTGATAAAATGACCAAACTCTGGCTCTAGATTGGTTTCAAATTAAAATGCTGACAGTTAAACTAGCTTTGGGACTCCGCCTGGGCTACCTCACATTTTCTTTTTTGGGGGCAAATTCTCTACACAACATGAATAATAATCATACTATCTCACAGGGTGATGTGTGGCAGGTCCCGGGACAACCCCAGGCTGCATAATTGCCACAAGAACTTCCTTAGACTTAGAAAAGCTGCATAATCCTAACCGCATTTTATTACAGTGAAAGGATGCAGATTAAAATCAGCAAAGGAAAAAGAGTCATAAACCAAAATCAAGAAACAAACTTCCATGTCTCCCCACCCAGGGGGGACATGCTGACAGCTCACAGCAAAGTGTGTGAGATGTGAAGTGAGGTACACCAGCAAAGCTTAGCCGGGGTCCGGACTCCAAGTTCACGTTAAGAATAGTCCCATAAGCATGTGGCCCTGAAGAACTGACCTCAGCTACCCTGACTCCAGTGTTACTTCCTTCCAGCAGAAACAAATATTTCCTGTAAATTGCACTGTAAAGTTCTCTGGTCAGAATGGACCAGCATCAACCAAGGCTTCAGAAGGAAAATTTTACAAAACCTCTGAACAGGCAGACTATCAAAAGATCAAATCTTGTCTCCTGGAAGAATCAAAGACCAGTCTTGAAAGGTGCAGGGTTTGAGTAAAGGAGCCCTGCTGAGTTAACCCTTTCTTGCCTAGTGGTTATGAAGAACAAATAAGTTAATATATATAATTTAAAATAGGCTTTGCTTTGAATAGGGTATGGCTCATGTGAGCAGTAAATAAGGGTAAAGAATAATTCCTTCTAATGGAGCTCTATGACCTGAATGAGGCATGTTAATTTGGAACAGAAATAAGAAATGTGCTCTGTGGATTTTGTGGCAATAATAAGTCCCCAAGTTTGTAAAACGGGCATTATAAGGTTATTGAGTATTATATCTATGGATACTTTAGTAAGTTTCCTGTGAAACGCCAAATTCTAGCATTTTGTTCTTTTGCCCTTTGCAGAGTCCTGAAACCAGGAAAATAATCATCAAAGAGAAGAAGTGTTGAGGCATACAACTTAAACCAGGTACAGGAGCTCAGTATTTAACATATAACATTTGTTAAAACTGACAATAAATGCAACCTTATCTCCCCTATTATTAGCAAGGTATTTTATAATCATACCATTTTGGTGTCTTAGGGTGTGCGTAACTGGCTGTTACAGGTAACTGTTCATATCCTAAAGAAAAATTCACTTCTATGTGTAATTTAAACCAGTTGTGAGAGCATAAATTAGGCTAGACCTGGACAGAAATGAGAAAGAATTAAATTATCAGTAGTATTACTATTAAATTATCGCATATTCATGAAAGATCTGCCACATGGGAAAATCATCTATGAAATGATTTTACACAATTGGATAAAATGTGCATAGTCCAGTTGACTTTATGGTGCCTAAAGTCCAGTGGGAAAGACATGAAATAAGCTAGTAGCAATATGCGAGTAAAAGTTGCAATAAATGTGAAGAAGGAAAATTTTACTGTTCTATGGGAGAATATATTGGGAGAGAAGGGAAGAATCTATTGTGGGTTATATTGACAATATTTCTCTGGAAGAGGACATTTAAGCTGATACTTTGATTAGGAGGCTACAGTCCTTGGCAGATGAGACAACAATAAATTAAGAAAATAAGCCTTAAACGAAGAAGGAAAAGCAACGAAAAGAAAGCTAGTGTGGCTGTAGTACAGTCACAGAAGATGAGAGAGACGTAGGGTGAAGTGGACTTGGGCCTGGGAGCTGACCAGCCCCCACAGGGCCAAGTGTCGTTGGCGAGGGATCTCAGGACCAGCTCTGCTGGATGACTTTCTCCCCTTGACATTCCTGTTCCGTGTCACTTGTCCTCTTTGTTTGTTCCCTAGATATAGACGCTTTCAGATCTGTCACCCCATTTCACCCTAGCCTACAAGACATCCGACAGAGTACAGCATAGATGAGCTAATTTTGGGGCAGAGAAGTTCTCAAGGCGTTCATTCTTTGGAACATTACTGCATGACATGTCCTACCTGAAATGATTTGGGGTCCACAGAATTTACAACTTTCTGAACACTGTAGACTCTCGGGATTTAAGTGTGAATTAACATTAGTGATTCTGAGAAACTTTACAGTAAAAAAGCAAAAACAAAATGTGTGTGTGTGCGTGTTTGTATAACACTGAAAAATTTCCAAAACTCTTTTTATGATTATGTGGGGAATTGTTTCAAGATTTTCCCTTAGGGATATAGATGTTAAGAAGTTCTTTTTACTGCTTAAGACACACTTTGGTAATGTGATAATTTGGTAATGTGGTCATTTTGGTACTTGATGTCTATGCACATTAAATTATTTTAGATAATTTCCTAGAATCTAGATAATTCAAGCCAGAAAAAAAATCTGTTTGCCTCCGTGGTTTAGCTTTTTCCATCAGAGATTTTCTCTGACCAGAATTATATAGTTAATTGCTTCAAGTCTTGATTATATTTTGAATGTGAAAATATAGCCTTAGGTACCAAAAGGAGTTCTGAAGTAAGAGTGTAATAAACAATTTTTTAATATCAGTGTAATGTTAGTTTCTTAAGTCAAACAAAGGAAAACCACAAAAATTATTGTTTGCATCTCAGCTAATCTCATATTCTTTTATATAAAAATGTCAATCATTGATTTTTAAAATGTTCATAATTTAGGTTCCTAAAAAAGCCTTAAAGTGATGTAAATGATGTGGGTTAATACCTACTTTATTACTTTAAAGAATAATTCTATATTCTATAAAATGTGGAGATTTTGTACCCTAGCGGTGAACACCTTAACGACCCAGAGTATTTGATCAAGTTCATTTATCCTCATTCCAGAAGACAGGTTTTCAGCATACATGTTAGGAAGGGCATTGGCATTCTTAGACCAGTTCAGCATCTTTCTGTTAAACTGGCTATCATTTAAATAGAAGAAAAAAATCATGAAAAATTCTGCAGAATTTCAAAACTTAGAAACAAAGAGCCTTGTTTCGTCCCAAGAAAACAAGATACAGCTGCCTTTTAATTGCTACTGTGACCATTTGCTTTCTACTAGAGATGTGTGTCAAATGTGGGATCTAATTAGAAATTTTAATTGAAAATGGCCTTTTAAAAAAAGAAAAGAAAGAAAAAGGATAAAAACTGAAGCATAAATATAGGAAGGAAACCAGAAATGGTAATATTCTAGCAAAACTGAAAATCACTTGGCCTCTAGGGAACTTTTTATTTGGCTCCCAGTTGAACTTTACAGGTTTATATTTCCAGAGAAATTTCATCAATCAAATGAAGAATCTTTCAAACTCTATGGATTAAAAATTTCTCCTCGTGTAAAAACAATTGATTTTGTGGTCCTGAGGATTAAACCCAGCACCCTGTGGAGGCTAAGCAAGCACTCCATCACTGAGCTGCACCCCGAGCCCAAAATAATCTTTTAAAGGTTTGAAGCCTTGGATAAATGCTAGCTCCCTGACTTAGGTTCTGGACAACTTTTGTAACTATTCTTAATATCAGCTCACTCATCTCCAAAATGGAATTTTCAAATCTAATTTTTCAACATGATTTCTATCTTGTTCCTCTCTGGACTTATACACTGACTGATATGTAGATATACCGTATTATGTTCTAGAAAGAAAGAAAAGAGAAGAAAGTGAAACAAAGAGGCTAATTTTCAGAATAAATGGTATAATATTTAGCACAGAAAATTGCAAATAAGGACAATGAGAGTACTTATTGATTTCATGCACTGGAGGCAAATTCTCAAAGGCACTTTGCTTAATCCTTTTATTTAAAGTATTTTTTTTCTTGTAGATGTTCTAGATTCTGCTTTACAGATTATAAACTCTACTTAGGGCCAATGCAATACATTATTTCTGAATTATGCATAACACTTTGCATTGTACTATGTATGATAGATGTTCAATTAATATTTGATTGAAAAAGGCTACGAGTGTCAAGCAATATGACACCCAAATTGTCATCGCCTTTGATTTACAGACATCATATCCAACATCAGAGCAAGAGTGGTTATGGCTTCCGATGAAACATTTCATTCAATAATAGTGTAGTGGTGCCTCGATTCATGAAGTCAGTTCTCTCAGTGTTTCTGATGGCAGACTGAACTGGATGAGAACCAAATCAAATTTCCCCAAAACATCTACATTGAACCTAACCACTGAATTTGTTTCGGTTCTGCTCCAGCTCGGTTTGCAACCAGAAGCGTGGAAAGAATCAAGCTCCTAAACTTGAGGTGCCACTGTGCATTCACCTCTTTTTGCCCTTCATTCTCTACTCCCATCAGATTGGGGAGTTTGCGGACATTCCACATGTTTGGCTTTTATCTTTGGTTACATTCTCAGTACTGTTCATTTTCAATAGTCTCTTCCCTACTGCCTTTCCCATTGTTTTTCCCCCTCACCCTTCTTTTTCCTTTTATCCTTTGTCTCTTTCGTTTTATCTATCCCCCAATTTTTTTTTGTTCATTGAGTTTATTGTTACATATTAGGTATACAATATGATGACATTCATCATTTTAAATTGATACCTTTACATGATGTGTCTTGGTTCTTATTTTTTCCCCATTTCCCTGCCCTCCCTTCAACCCCTCCTCATTCCATTTTTTCCTTTTCTCATATCGATTCCTTTCCCTTTTTTCATTCCCCTACCCTTCACCCTTCCCCTTTGAACCTTTTCTTCCTATTTCAGATTATCTAATATATGTTTTCATCCTTATTTACATTTTCAGTTTCTCACACCAGAGAAACTATTTGGAGTTTACACATGTGTGTCCTATTTATTTCACTTAAGAGTATGGCCTCAATGTGCATCCATTGAGCTATCAATGTCTCTAGTTTCTCATTTGTTATGGCTGAGTAGCATTGCATTTTGTAAAGATGCCACATCTTCAAATTTTTATGTACAAATCTCTTACATTCATATCAAATACCATGTCCTCTAGGAAGCATTCTTATGTACAGTATTTACTAAGAGAATTATCTTTTTAAAAATTCATTAAGTTTATTGGTACATTTTTGGTATACAATACAGTTACATTCATCATTGGGAATTTGTACCTTTACATGATATATCTTAGTTCTTATTTTTTTTTCTCCATTCCCCTGCCCTCTCTCCAACCCCTCAACCCCTCCGTATTTACAAAGACTTTGTTTCCCTTTTTTCCTTTTCTCATGTTTTTTCCTTTCCCTTCTTTCCTTTCTCCTACCCCTCCCACTTCCCCTTCCCCTTCCCCTTTGGACCTTCAGCATATTGAATGCACACTGAGGTTATACTCTTAAGTGAAATAAATAGGACACACATGTGTAAATTCTGAATAGTTTCTCTGGTGTGAGAATCTGAAAGTGTAAATGAGGATCAAATGTATAATAAATAATGTGATATAGGAGAATTACCTTACTACCTTTGATTTTTTGTTTGTTTTTAGTCACTCTCTCTTATTCCCCATTGGTGAAAACTGAATTTGACAAGGAGTTAGTGAAAGCCAAGCCACATAATATGTTAATAACTATTTTCCTCTATCCTCTTCTCTGTCCTACTACCCATTACTACCAAGGCAGAGGCTCCAATAAAGGTGGTGGCTTGCTTGCACACTAGTATCTATGTTTCTGGTAGAATAAATTTAGACTAGGAGCACCAGTCTGTAACAGCTCCTAGATGCAATCATATCTTCTACTGGAGTCCACATGGCTCTCTAACTGGTTCCTGAGTTCTTGCTTCTATAACCACCTGCATCGGAAGCCAGGCTCCACAGCCCAGTGTTTTCAGTGCCTTGGTTCCCAGAATATGTTCCTTCCTCCCTTTCACTGTAGACTTTTCTTATTTTGGGTATTCCTCCTGATTTATGACATGGATACATGCATGAGGCTGAGAACTACCCCTTCCCAGAAGCCTACTGTACTGCTTCCCTACTCACCATGGCAGTTCTAACCTAGCCCCTTGCTTATTGATGTGTATTCAGCTCAGTATTAAGTGGGCTGAGGACTTGGCTCAGGAGTAGTGCACTTGCCAAGCACGTGTGAGTTCTCGG